ATATAATAATTATATATATAATATATAATAAATAAGTATATAATATATATTTGTATATGTTTGTTGGTACAGCAGAAGCAGAATCAGCATCAGCAGCAGCAACAGATATATCATCAGCAGCAGCAGAAGCAGCAGCAGCAGCACGAGCAGGAGCAGCAGTAGCAGCAGCAGCAGGAGTAGAGGAAAAAAAGAATAAAAAAAAAGAACGTCGTTATTGTTTTTATGGTATAAAAGTAGGGGAAGAAATAAATAAACCAACAAATAAAATACCTACAATAAGAGAAAGCCCCATTAATTTTTTGCATGCAAATAGCATGCATGCACAACATCTTCTTTATCCTAATATTAAACAAATCATTATACAACAAAAGAATATACATAACCAACAAGGAGGTAGGGTTTATTAGGGTTTATTAGGGTTTATTAGGGTTTATTAGGGTTTATTAGGGTTTATTAGGGTTTAGGGTTTAGGGTTTGCTGTGTGCAGTACCTGAGATAGATGGTGTGAAGCTGCAAACCATCGAAGAGGCAGCAGCAGAAGCAGCAGCAGCAGCAGCAGCAGCAGGAGCAGCAGCAGCAGCAGCAGGAGCAGGAGCAGCAGCAAATAGTTCTCCTCCTCCTCAGCACCTAAAGGGGATCCTTAGAGGGTATGGAGAAAACGTTCCTAGGTGGGGAGAAGACGATCCCGAGTGGGGAGGAGACGATCCCACGCTGGGAGGAGACGATCCCAGGAGGGGAGGAGACGATCCCAGGCCGGGAGGAGACGATCCCAAGAGGGGAGGAGACGATCCCATATGGAGGAGACTGATGGACTTTGATTGGAGTAACCCTGATCATGTATACTTAAGGGTATTTATTTATTTATTTATTTATTTATTTATTTATTTATTTATATATTTATTTATTTATTTATAATATATATTATTATTTATATTGTTATTTATATTATTATTATTTATATTAATAATAAAATTAATAACAATTAATAATAATATAGATAATGTTAAATATATAATTAAATATATAATTAATTAATTAATTAATTAATTAATTAATTAATTTATTTATTTATTTGTTTATTTATGTACAGTTAGGTCATAGACAATCCGTAGTGTCTCCTCCTGCTGATCAAGGAGACTGTGGCTCTTGTTACTCTGCTGCAGTTAGCACCATGCTTACCTCCAGGTAGCAGCAGCAGCAGCAACAGCAGCAGCAGCAGCAGCAACAGCAGCAGCAGCAGCAGCAGTAGCAGCAGCAGCAGCAGCAGTAGCAGCAGCAGCAGCAGCAGTAGCAGCAGCAGGAGTTGGTTGAGTTGCATCTATATACACCCTTTGTAATTCTAATCTCTTATCTTCCCTCCAACAACTTTAGGGTTTAGGGTTTAGGGTTTAGGGTTTAGGGTTTAGGGTTTAGGGTTTGTGTGTTATAGGTTATGGATTCGTTATGCAGATAATCCTGATGTCTTTGGTAAATTAATAGTTAGCCCTATGCAGGTAAATAAATATTTTTATTCTTTTTATTAATAAATAAATAAATAAATAAATAAATAAATAAATAAATAAATAAATAAATATATTTATTATTTATATTTATACTAGTACTTATTACATTAATAATACACAGATAAAATATACATATATAAATAAAGGAAAAAAAAAGTAAATAACCAATAAATAACTAAACAAATTAATTAAATTAATTAATTAATTAATTAATATAATTAATTAATTAAATAATTAATTAATTACTTATGCATGCATGCATGCATGCATGCAGACAACTGCATGCACAGTATATAACCAAGGATGTGCTGGTGGTTATGTCTTCTTATCTCTTCTTTTTATACAACAAAAAGGAATAAGGACAGAGCAATGTATACAACAATATAGACAAGAAAAAGAACAGGTAATTTATTTATTTATTTATTTATTTATTTATTTATTTAGTTATTTAGTCTATAGGGACAGAGCAATGTATACAACAATATAGACAAGAAAAAAGAAAGGTAATTTATTTATTTATTTATTTATTTATTTATTTATTTAGTTAGTTAGTTAGTTAGTTAGTCTATAGGGACAGAGCAGTGTATACAGCAGTATAGGGGAGAAAAAAGAAAGGTAATTAATTAATTAATTAATTAATTAATTAATTAATTAATTAATTAATTAATATAGGGACAGTATAAAACAGTAGAGGGAGGAGAGGGAAGAAGGTAATTACTTATATTTATTTATTTATTTATTTATTTATTTATTTATTTATTTATATTTAGTTAATTAATTAGAGTAAGGATAGAGGAATGTATACAACAGTATAGACAACAAAAAGAACAGGTAATTAGTTAATTAATTAATTAAATAAATAAATTAGTATATGTATATACATATATATATATATATATGTAATGTGTATATGTATACAGGGGTTATTATATTCTTCTTATTTATCTAATAAAGAACAAGAATGTTATGATTTAGGGGGACAAATAGGGAAAAATATATATAAATGTATAAATAAACCAATAAAAAATAAATTACCTTATGCATGCAATTATTTAATTAAATTAAATAAATATAATTTTATTAATTTTATACAAAAAAAGCCCCAAAAAAAAAATACTTTTTTTTTTGGGGCTGCATGCGTTGCATGCATGCAACAAGAAATATGGCAAAAAGGGCCTATTGTTGTCTCTATTCAGCCTTCAAGTAAATATACATTATTTATTTATTTATATTTATTTATTTATTTATTTATATTTATTTATTTATTTATTTATTTGTCTCCTTATTATATCCCTTTCCCTGTCTCTCCCTTTTTCTTTTCTTTTTTTTCTTTTATCTGTCTCCTTGTCTCTGTCTATATATGTATCTTTTATGTCTTTTTTTATTACTAGTAATAAATAAATAAATAAATAAATAAATAAATAAACTAATTAAACTAATTAATTAATTAATTAATTAATTAATATATATTTATTTATATATTTATTTATATGTATATATATACAGAGGAATTTCTTACATATAAGGGGGAGGGTGTATTTGTGTCTCCTTATAATAATTTACAAGAAAAAGGAGACAATTGGGTATGGCAAAGAGTAAGTTAATTAATTAATTAATTAATTAATTAATTAATTAATTAATTAAATTAATTAACTAATTAGTTAATTAACTAATTACCTAATATATTAACTAATTAAATTAACTAAATAATAATATAATATTTATTTATATATGTATATGTATATGTATATGTACGTATTTACGTACGTATATATACGTATACGTATACGTATATATGTATATGTATATGTAGGTAGAGCATGCATTAACAATAGTAGGTTGGGGCTGGCATAAGAAAGGAGACAAATATATTCCTTATTGGCGTATAATAAACTCATGGGGTAATTGGGGAAAAAAAGGATATTTATATATAATTAAAGGAATTAATTTATTATTTATTGAACATTTACCTATTTATGCTGACCCTATTCTTTATTATAATAATATATTTGTACCTACTTCTCCCTCTTCTCCTTCTGCTGCTGCTGCTGCTGCTGCTGATACTGCTGATGCTGCTGATGCTGCTGCTGATGGTGGTGGGGGTGGTGCAGCAGCAGCAGGTGGTGGTGCAGCAGCAGCAGGTGGTGGTGCAGCAGAAGGAATAGTGCATGCACAGAGGAAGCAGCAGCAGCAGCAGCAGCAGCAGCAGCAGCAAGAGATAAATGTTAATGAGGGGAGAGAGGAGACAGAGGAAGTAAATAACAGCAAAAAGAAACAACAATTTAAATATATAAAAAAACATACAAATAAATAAAATTAAATAAATAAATAAATAAATAATATATACATATATTTATTTATTTATTTATTTTTTTATTTATTTATTTATATATATGCATATATGTACAAGTTGTATGTACGTGTAGATTTTATATTTTGTCTTTTTACCTTTTTTTTTATTTATTTTATTTATTTATTTATTTATTTATTTATTTATTTAATTTATTTATTTGTTTATTTATTTTATTTTATTTTTTATTTATATTTATTTAATTTAAATGTAAATAATAATAAGAAGAACTGTGTTTGTCTTGTTATAGGAGAGCACAGCTTGCTGCTGCTGCTGCTGCTGCTGCTGTTGCTGCTGCTGCTGCAGCTGCAGCTGCTGCTCCCTGCTTAGTGTAGTAGAGGACATTTTTTTTGTTATTATTGCAACTTTTTATTTTAATTTATTTAATTAATTTATAATTAAAAATAAAATAAATAAATAAATAAATAAATAACTTAATTCGTTGCATGCAGACAGCCGCACGAACGGTCGGTGTGTAGCAGCAGCAACAACGGCAGTAGCAGCAGCAGGAGCAGCAGCAGCAACAACGGCAGCAGCAGCAGCATATATCTAAATAAATACGAAAGAAAAAAGAAATAAATATAATTTATTTCCTTAAAATAATAATTTAATTTATTTTTATTAATTAAAAAAGAATTAAACATAATATTCATTCAATATATCTACTGCAAGGGGGGCCCCCAGGGGGGCCCCCCTCCCCGTTGGTCTTGTGTTCTGCTTTTTAGGGTTTAGGGTTTAGGGTTTAGGGTTTAGGGTTTGGAGAGTTATGCACATTTTTTTCAGCTTTGTTTATCCTTTTTTATTAATATTGACTAAATTATATATTTTTATGTCTTATTAATAATCCTTTTGTTGCTGCTGCTGCTCCTGTATGCATAAATTACCCTCTTTCTTATGTATAGGTACGGTATATATATATATATAT